ACGCACACGTACGGTGGAACGGCAACGTCGCCGCCCCCGCCCCCGCCCCGGCGCGCGACGCTCACGTCAAAGGTCGCTGGTGGAGAGGCGGTTCACAATCGCTGCCTCAAGCGCCGCCGCTTCGCAGCCCCCAACGCCGTAAAAGTCCTGCACAGCTGCCTCGTCGCAGTACGTCTCCAGCGACGAAAGCCCGTGCTGCGTGCCCTGCACGGCCTCAAGCACGGCCGCAACGTCCTTGTCCGTCGGGGCGTGCAGGACAATCACGGCCGCCCTCGTCGTCTCGGAGCAGGTCAGACGCCTCAGCGCACGGTGGAGGTTCCGCGTGTGGGAGAGCGCGGCGAAGACGTCGAGATCCGTCGGTGCCGCCCTGCGTGCCGCCGCTGCACTATCGTCTGGGCCAATAGCGAGCGGCGCAGTGCTGATGCGGTGCAGCGCCACGACCAGGTGCAGCCTGGATATGATGTACGCCGAGTCAATGCAGGCGGCACGGGTGGCGCGCGCCTTGAGGTGGTCGTGCACGGAGGCGGCGTCGCGCACGTCGTGGAACGCCAAGACGACAAAATCACCGACGCGCTCCATTCCCTCTTCCGCGCCCCGCTTCGCCCCTTTCCCTGCTACTGCCTTCACTAATGGGGCTTGTTGAAAGAAATCAAAGGAGGAGGCGGCAGAGCCAGCATGGCACCAGAGAAGCAGCGGCGCCGTCAAATGCAGGGCGGGTCACGCGCCGCCCGGCAGCAAATCCGACAGCGCCGCTTCACCCACCTCCCTTTTTTATTTCCGTCCATCCCTTTGTGGGCGGCTGGTCAGAAGGCGCGCGTGCGCATAAACCAACAGCAAGGACGCAAGCGAAGGAGACCTCGCCACGCCCCCCTGCGAAGTGCTTCTCCCAGTCTCCCTCGTGAGTGAGAGGAGGGATTGGCTTTTTCTCTCTCTCTCTCTTCCGTTCCTCCCCTTATTCCCGCTGCTCCAGCCTTTGCCAGAAAAGCACACTTCTGCATGACGCCTGCGATTCCGCTTCGTTACCACCTTCTCCCCCTTTTCGATTCCTACTCACATCCCATTTTTTTCTTCTATCATCCTTCTTCACTGAACTTCCTTCTTCTTTTCATGTACAACTTTACCCACTTGCTTTTCTGCAACTAAAATGAACCCTTCACCCTTTTGCTTTTGCGTCGCGTCATCTCACTTTTTGTTGAGGACTTCTTTTTGTTTTTATTTTTTCTTGCTTCCTTTCCTGTCGTTTTCCCCATTTGAGTCCGCGCCTGAGGCGCTTTACTGCCCGCCGCCGCACATTGCAGGCAGGCAGAGCGAGAGAGGGAGGGAGGGAGGGAGGGGCGCACACGTTACTTTGCCTTGAGCTGCACGGTGTAGCGCTCGGAGTCCTGCCGCGGCCCGACCCACGGACGCATGTAGACAAGGGTCACTTCGTGCAAGCCGGGGGCTGTCGGGGTCACCTTGAAGAGCTCGGTCCCGCCCGCACCAATCAGCTTCGCATCCGGGGCGGCGTAGAAGTTGGCGACGGTAAGTGCCTTGTTTTCGGGCTCCTTCTTGCGGTTCTCGAACATCCACGAAAACCCCGTGGAGGGGTTGCTGGGGAGCTCAATCTCGACGGTCTCACCGACGGTCAGCGTGACTGTCTTGCCGTGGTCACCCCTTGTCAGCTTCTTTGGCATTTGTGTGCGTTTGCGGTGTGTATATGTGTGTTGTTGCTGTTGTTTCGAGTGCTTGACCTGTTGGCCGCGTTCTGCGCGTGCGGGAGAGAGAAGCGAAAGAGCAGAAGCGGCGGGAGCAGTACGAGGGACGAGGCACAACCGCAGCGTGAGGGGGCGGCGGTGCGCCGGCGTCGCGCCTCCCAACCGCCTGGCGCCGCCGGGCTCCCACGCAGAAAAAAGGAATGAACCACAATAAAAGAGGGGATACCACAACATCGTCGCCTAAGGGAAAAAAGAGCGGCACACACACACGCACACGCACGGTGGAACGGCAACGTCGCCGCCCCCGCCCCCGCCCCGGCGCGCGACGCTCACGTCAAAGGTCGCTGGTGGAGAGGCGGTTCACAATCGCTGCCTCAAGCGCCGCCGCTTCGCAGCCCCCAACGCCGTAAAAGTCCTGCACAGCTGCCTCGTCGCAGTACGTCTCCAGCGACGAAAGCCCGTGCTGCGTGCCCTGCACGGCCTCAAGCACGGCCGCAACGTCCTTGTCCGTCGGGGCGTGCAGGACAATCACGGCCGCCCTCGTCGTCTCGGAGCAGGTCAGACGCCTCAGCGCACGGTGGAGGTTCCGCGTGTGGGAGAGCGCGGCGAAGACGTCGAGATCCGTCGGTGCCGCCCTGCGTGCCGCCGCTGCACTATCGTCTGGGCCAATAGCGAGCGGCGCAGTGCTGATGCGGTGCAGCGCCACGACC